CAAGTGTTGATGTATTCTAATATCTCTAAAGTGTATTCAATTTAGCTTTAACCCTCAAGTTAGCACTATCTAAAGCTTCATTATCAACTCTCAAGTTGTGCTCCCTATGCTTAGATTTATCAATATATGTCTTAAAATTAGATTCAGGTGAGGTGTAGGATGCTTTCAATGAATCATGCTCAATAACCAACTTAGAGTGCTTTTTATTCAATTAATCAAACTCATCAAGTAAAGACATGTGATTAATATCAATTTGGAGGTGATCTTTAATCAAAACTTCATGCTCTTTTTGTAAACTCAAAAACTCTATTTTCACACTAGAATGTGTTTTCTTAAGTTTTTTATATGATTCATGAATTTTTTCACATATTTCAAGTAGTTGATCATAGGTTGGTTGGATACCTCTTCTTGGTCAAACTATCCAAGATGATTATCTACCATCAAATACAAGTTTGTTGTTTCCTCCTCTACTTCAATCTCAGAGGAGTCAGATGCAGTATCGCCCAAAATGCTTTTTGGTACTACTTCTTATCCTTCATGTATTTGGGTTTCTCCTCACCCTTCTCCTTGCTTGGGTGTTCCTTAAGTGTAGGACAATGAACTTTAATATGTCCAGGCTTCCTACATTCAAAACAAATAACATCAGAAGAAATTTTATAATTTTTACTATCATTACCTCTTTTCCACTTCTGATTATCTTTATACTTCTTTCTTAGAAAACTTTTAAATTACCTAGTGATGAAGGAAACATCATCATTTTCATATCTAGAAGAATCAGTGTCCATGTTGTTGGCTTTTATTGCCACAATTTTCTACTTCTTTTTCTCACCTGCAATAAGATTTTTTTGATTCACCTCTTGCTCGTAAGCAATGAGTGATCCAAGTAAGTTATAAATCGAATAAGTATTCAAATCTTTAGATTCAGTAATTGTAGTGATCTTAGCATCAAAAGAAGAAGGCAAGCATCTCAAAATTTTATTGACCCTTTCATAATTAGTTAGCTCTCTTCCTAAATATTACAATGTGGTGATAATTTGAGTAAACTTTATATATATGACAGAAATTGATTCATAAGATTTTATATGAAAAAGTTCATAATTATGCAATAGAATATTCAATCTAGATTGTTTAACTCCATTAGTTCCTTCATAAGTTACACATAATCTATCCCAAATCTGTTTTCAGTTGCATAAGTTGAAGCACGTATATAATCTTCAGATTTCAAAGCATAGAAAAAATAGTTTAAGAAATTTCCATTAAGTTGTGCTAAATCTCTTTCATTAAAAGTCCATTTAGTAAATGAATTTTCAATTTTAATTCCATTAAGTTCATGAGAAGGTGGTGTATAACCTTCTTTAACAAGCATCCACATATAAAAATCAAATGATTGTAAAAATGTAGACATGCAAGTTTTCTAAAAATCAAAAGGAATTATCAAACAAAGGTGGACATGTAATAGAATATCCTTCCATTATATTACAATTATCAAAGTTAGCCATGAATCAAAATTCAAAAAGTTTTTAAACTTAATTTTATGAATCCCGCTCTGATACCACTTGAAAGTGCTCTGATAGCACTTGAAAGTTTGTTAGGGAAGATAAGCCCTTATGAACTAGTCCCAAGGTTAACCAAGAGGGGGAGGGGGTGAATTGTTATTTTTTTAAAAAATTTTGATCAAAACACAATCTTAAAATAAAAACCAAGATTCATTATATAAATGAAAGTACGGAAAAAAATACGGAAGAAGTAATAAAGAACACAGAAATTTATAGTGGTTCGATCAATATGACCTACGTCCACTCCCCTGTGGCACCCTCCGAGTATTACACTAAATTAAGTGTCTCTCCTTTCGCCCCCACAGCAAGGCAGGGATGCCTATACAAACCTCGTTTCCACCAACCCAGGTGAGGCAGAGATCCCAACTTCTTTTTCTTTCTCTTGAAGCAGGCATAAAACCCAACACTTTTTGCTTCCTCTTGAAGTATGAAGAGATCCCAACTCCTTTTGCTTCCTCCTGAAGCAGGAAGAGAATCCAACTCTTTTTACTTCCTCATAAAGCAGGCTGAGATCCTTGATCATAAGCTAATGTGTACCTCTCTAGAACCCCCAAGGAAATAAAGATGATGAATAGAGAAGATGATGATAGATCCTTTCTTTGAGTAACCATTATGAACTCCCTCACAAAATCCCCCTCATAAGACCCTCTCTCTTTCCCGTGCTCTCCCTCTCCTCTTGGCTCTATCAGGTTAGAGCAATAGTAAAAGATAAGCTCTTGGGTAGAATAATAGCTCTTAAACAAAAGAGTTTCAGAATTGCTCTAATTTTAAATAAACTGATATTTTTAGCTAGGATGATGTGGATATCATCCTGGCCGATCAGCATAAATTCTTAATCAACCCAATTGATTTAGGACGATCATAAGATTCTTGGTCATATAGTCTAGGCCGATATAATATCATCCTATATGATCAGCACAAATCCATAAATATAATCTAGATAATCACTCTGAAAGAATGTTTGGACAATGCAAAAATAACTTGAACGTCCAAGCTAATCTTACGATGGTCCCGGATAATTAGTTCAAATCTGTGAAACCTGTCCTGAGCATCATCTTAAATAGAAGCTAGCGTATGTCAATCATCCAAGCGATCATCCCGGACGATCATATGATTGTCCATGATAATGTGATCGTGAAATCAAATTATGATTGCTTTCCTTAATTACCAAATTAATTTAGGCATAATTGTCCTACATCATCTCGGATGATGTCATAGATGATGTCAAAAAATAAATAATTCCTAAATAGATATGGCAGCTGATTTTTTCTGATTTGAGCCTATCATCCCAGCCGATATTAATGTCATCTAGGACGATGTGCTTAATAATGGCTGCCTTAAAAAGGATGCCCTAATTAAGGTTTCTTTTTAGATGATCGTCCTAGATGATTTTTGGATCGTCCTGAATGATGTGATAAAAAATATAAAACTCTAAAAGTACTCAAATAAATTCCCCCAAGTGTGTGTGCAAGGTTACTTAGCATCAGGAATCACTTTGTTTATAATAGACTCAAGAAAGGAAAAATTACAAACTAACTTAGACCTACTCTACCCAATCTTGAGCTGGCTTGTGTTACACTAGATCTTTTGGAGCAAAATTGTTAGTAGGAAAGGCTCATAGAAAATAATAAATATTTGATATTATAAAAATTTTAATCCAGAAAATCAAATTTGCAACAAACTTAACAAACTTTTTTATTGAGGCGAACTTTGATTATGATTTCTAACTATTTTACACAAAGGAGGATATGTGTTGCATTCCGAATCTTTTCTATCAAGTTAGGGATATAAAAAATCAAATGTTATTTTTGAATTTCTCATTTCATCATATTTGCAAGGAGGGTAATGCGTGTGCTACTTGGCTTGCTAACTGGGGGTGTAGTCTTGATAGTTATTCTGATGTTATTTGGTCCATTATTTTGATAGCTCTTCGTGGTAAGCTTAAACTTGATGTGGTTGGTATCACCTATGTTAGATCTTAAGTGGCTTTTTTCTTGGGTGGTGTGCTGGGTGGTTTATTGGCCATGGTTTTTATGTTGTTGGGTTATTTTTTACTGTCATTATTCTTTTATGGCTCCTTGGCATCATCTATTTATGAGTGGTGGTGTTTCTACAAATTCTTCTATTATTGGTTTTTTTCTTCTTGTTAGTTGGTTAATCTATGGGGCTGTAGGTTTGGATACTCTTGGGTTGGCTTGTTTGCTACTCTATTGCATTTTTTCGTAGAGGTGTGTGGTGTCTTATTTAGTTTGCTTTGTTTGGATGGTCATCTAGACTTGTGGCTTGGGATTTTTTTCCTTCTTTAGGGCTCTATGTTCTGTATTAATCTTATTTTATTGGTATGGTATTATTTTATTTTGTGGTTATTGAATTATTGCTGGCATCTATCTGTGACTTCCATTTTACTAGATGTCTTGGTGGATCTAGACTTGATCTATGACTCCACAGGTTATATGGATGATGGTTTTTTCCATTACTGATCTCCTACCTTCAGGTTTCTTGCTTGGCTTGCTGGGGGTCCGTGAGAGTTTGGCTGGTCTTTGGGGTTTTGTTGGCTCTATTTTTGATTTGGATGTTGGCTGCAGGTGTTTGTCTGTCCCTGGGATTTTGGCTCGGCATATGTTTAACCAGTTTTGGTTTATTGGAGCGGGGCTTTATTTTGGGATGGGTAATGGTGACATTTTTGTGGTTTTGTATTGTTCTTTTAGAGGCATTATGTTTTCTATTTGGGCTCTTTTAAGGTGTTTATGTTTGATGCTGAGGCTAGGATTTAAGGCTTGTGGATTTTCCTAATGAGGATTCCGATATTAATTTTATTCTGAGCTCTATAAGTCATCATCCTCTCTTTGGCTTAATGTGGTGCAAATTTTACTACTCCTCTTTTGTTACTAGCTTTAATTTAGATTATTTTTCTTGGTTATCCTATAAGTTTTTGTGTTATAGCTTGTCTTTTTACAGTAGCTTTATTTTGTAGGTGGAGTTGCTTATGGCTGACTCCAAGCTATTTTTGTAGAAAGATTATGCATCATTTCTTTATTTTTATCTTTCATTTTTTTATGCTTATTTATAGCAACATTAAAATGTTACTAGGGTGCCTTGTACTTTGATTAGTGGAGACTATTGGCTCGTAGGTTTTGTTTTACTTTGTTTTGTAGCTCGTAAGAGCATTAGTGAACTGATGGTCTCTTTTTTTTTTTTTTTTGAGAAGATGAATATAGCAATTTTATTGAAAGAAAAAGAGAACTAAACAAAGTTAAGATTATCACATTCCTCCTTCAACAATTTGAATAACATAGGAGGAACGTTATTGAAAATCAAGTTATTCCACATAAAAGCACCCAACCTAGCATGGTTAGCACAACAATCAGCTAACTTATTACATTTTCTATTTACTAATTGAAAAATGACTTGATTGAAATTCCTAAGAAAGAAAAAATCAAGTAACTAGGGATGATTACTTACAGTTGGACCCTTCTTAAAAATTTCTTGGATATGCTTCATAATATTGTAGTTGTCTCCTTCTATAATGATACCTTTAGCTTCATACATCCACTCTTGAGTAATCTTATTTAAAGCCATCAAAGCATCCAATTCAAGTGCTGAGATAACCCAATGTATACTTTTGAAACCAAAGGCAAATAAAAATCTACCCTTGTAGTCTCTAATAACTCCACCAATTCCTACAGAATAGTTGTTGTCAAGAGAAGCATCCACATTTAGTTTGATCCATTCAGTTGGAGGGGGTTTCCAAGTATCTTGAAACAACGAATGCTGATTAGAAACCCAGTTAGCTGAAATGATATCTTGACTAAAGGAAGAAGAAGCAAAACTGATTGCATTGGTTGTAATAGCTGATATGCTATCTTCCACCGAGCCATGTACCAGTTTACTCCTACTCTTCTAAGAAAAAAATACTGCAGAACAATACAAATTTGCCAAGAAAGGATTGAGACTAGAGATAATAGAGAGCCAATTTAGACAATTCTCCAAATTATTGAAAACAGGGATCTCATATCCCCAACTTTTTTAAGGAGTTGATGATATTAATCATGAAAAAACAATTAACAGCTATGTGGCTGTCATCCTCCACAACACAAAATCCTCTTGGGCAACCATTGTGATCAATAATCCTTCTATACATTAAGAATTCATTTGTTAGAATTGCCTTAGGTAACAATCTCCACCAAAAGATTTTAACTCTTGGCCTCAACTTCAACAATTTTAGCCATCTCCAGCTAGCATCTTCATCTTCATTAAAATTGATTTAATCTGAAATCATTGCTACAAGTGATTTCCCAGATAATTTATAAATGATTTCCTCTTCATCTTCGTGAGTTTCAGCATTTGTAGGGACCAAAGAAATCAAATTAGCTAACTCCTTACCGAATGCTTCATTCAATCTCTGGATATTCCGGCTACCACCATTAAGAAAGAATTTCAAACGACATTGATTTTCATTTAAATTGGACAAAAATGTAGGCCACTTCTCTAAAACTTATCAAGGATCCAAATATCCTTAGTAGTGTTTATATGCTCCCATTTGATGAATATGCAAACTTACCAAAGAAAATTCCTACCCAACTTATCAAGTTCTCTTAACACTCCCATTCGCACAAGGGAATGGGTAGAGATGAAAATTAGAATGGATAAGAGTGCTGATTTAATCAACTGAAGCTTACCAGCTAAAGTGAGAGAGTGGTTGCCCCAAACATTAAGTTTATCAAAAGCTTTTTCCAATACATCCTGGAAATTAGAAGCTTTAAGCGTTATCATAGCCATCTTGATGCCGAGATAATTCAATTCACCAACAACTTTGAAGCCCATGATTCTGGATAGAATTTTGGATTTGTTTTTGTTTGCTACTTTACCAAAAATTAAAGAAGATTTTTGGTTATTAACCTTCTGCCCTGTCCAGCCACTATACTTCTTTAATATTTTTTTAATTTTAATAGCATTTCTTCTATTAACTTCCACAAAAATAATAGTATCATCAGCATACTGAAGATGAGAAAAATTTTCTGCATTTGATGCCACCTTCACTCCTATCTTGGCTCCATCTCTATTGAACACTTTGGTGAGAAGTTGAGAGCACATGATAAACAAATATGGGGATAGAGGGCATTGTTGCCTAAAGCCACATTCAGCTCGAATCCAATTAGTATTCCTACCATTAACATTAATAGAATACTTGGTGTCCACCACACATTGGATTAGGAGGTTTACAAAAAAACTTGGAAAGCCAAAAAGATCCAAAACATTTTTTAATGTGTTCCACCCCATACTATCATATGTGTGCTCCATGTACACCTTAATGGACATCAAACCTTTCTTAGCTTTAGAGTTTCTGAATTTATGGAATATTTCTTGGGTGAGCAGAATATCTTCAGAAATTGATCTTCCTTTGATGAATGCTACTTAATTTTCAGAAATAATCTTTTGAATGATATAGACAATCCTAATAAATAACATCCTTGCCACTATCTTATAGATAGAATTACATAGACTAATAGGTCTATAATTAGGAGTTAAAGGATTTTTGAGCTTAGGAATAAGAACCACAATGGTTTCTCTCCATTCATCTCACATCAAACTAGATTTAAAAAATAGACAAATCTCCTTCCACACATCAGATTTAATAGTAGACCAATAGCATTTAAAAAAGAGTAGGAAATACCATCAATGCCAGGTGAAATATTGCTTTCCAAATGTGAGATAACTTTCTCCAATTCTTCCTCAGATAAGTTTGCCATAAGTTGTTCCTTGTCAACTTCATCAAGGGATCTGGAAATATTAGGCCAGCTGGTGTGAGAGCATCTCCTGAATTTCCATTTTTCCTGGAAGTGATTTGAGAAAATTTCTTCAATACATCTTTGTTCTTCAGTCAGAGTGCCATCTGAGCTTCTAATTTGTCTAACATGGTTGCTGTTCCGTCTCGCCGAAGCCACTGAGTGAAAGTATTCAGAGATAGTATCACACTCTTTATACCATTTCACTTTAGCTCTTTGTCTTCACCAAGAGATTAATCTTCCTAAGGTAGAATTTAACTCCTTTACTTTGAATCTTAACAAAGAGATATTGTCTTCTAAAAGACTTCCTGAATTGGCCTCCTCCTCTTGAAAAGATAAGATTTCTTAATTGAATTTTTCTTTTAAAATGTTTAGATTTGCATGTTTGGCTCTACTCCATTGAAATAAAGCTTTAAGAACTCTTTTGAGTTTGAGATTTAACTTTTGAACATCATCACCTCCTGTTGGCTTCTTCCATAAATTGACCACAATACCCTTAGAAGCTGGATAAGAGGTCCAAACTTCTTCGAACTGTAGTCTTCTATTCTTCTTAAACCCCGAACTACAAATATTAATGTCTATTGGGCAGTGGTCTAAAGCATTTCTTCCAAGAAGATGAAGGGCATTAGGTTGTATGATCGTCAAGGCTGCTGAATTTAGTAAACAACGGTCCATCCTTTCAAGGATCCGTGCTCCCCCTTTCTTGTTATTGCACCAAGTAAATTTGCGACCTATAGTCCCAATGTCATGAAAATCACATCTCTTCATAAAAATTTGCATATCTTGAGGTCCTTGAGAGAAAACAAATCTCTTCCCACCTCTCTTCTCCTCTTGAGAAAGAATGCAGTTAAAGTCTCCTCCAAAAATGCAAGGAATGCAAGAATTAGTGAATGTTTGTAGATCTTCCCAAAGTTGTCTTCTTTTATAAACCTCTTTGTTGCCATATGTGGTGGCAATAAGCCATTCATCTCGATTAAGCATTTTCAAATGTCCAATAACCACTTGATTAGAAGAATGGATGATATTGAAAGAACAAATGTTCGATTTCCAACAGATAAGAATTCCTCCCGACAAACCTTCAGCAGGGACATTAAAAAAATCTCAATTATTACCAATTAATTTATTGATTTCAACTCTATCAAAAGATTGGATTTTAGTTTCAATAAGTCCAACAAAAAAAACTTGAAGATCCTTGACAAATTCCCTTAAGTAATGAGAGGCCTCTACCTTTCTAGCCCCTCTACAATTCCAAAATGAGAGAGACGTCATTTGGATTTAAAAATGGGATTACTCCCATTTTTAAGCTTCTTGGTAACTTCTCCTTTCCTTTTTTGTTGTAGAATATTGTCTCTTCTCAAAGAACTAAGCTCTTTCTCATATTCTACGTTTGAAAGAAGCGTCCAAAGGAGCCTTCGATCCAAATCCATTTGGAAATTGCTGGTCCAGAGACATACGAACACATATTCTAGCATACTCCCTCTTGCTCCATTGAAACATATTGCCATCGATCCATAGTGGAACTCCAATTTTAGTAGCTATTCTAGCCACATTTTCTTCATCCCAACAAATCAAATGGAGATGAGGAAACCTGACCCAAATTGGGGAAGATAAACCTTTTAAAGAGGTAGGAGAAAACATAGGTGTCCATTTATCAATACCCACAATTTTGCCTTTGACGTACCATGGGCCACCTTCAAAAACTTTGTCAACAGCATCATTATCAAAAAAGGAGCACAAAATCCATCCAAGTCCAAGGGAAGTGATATGAAATTTCTCGAATTAACTCCATTGATGACGGAGCTCTCTAGCAATCACATAAATTGGAGCATTATCTCCATAAACCTTTACCACCAAGGACAATTGTAATTTGTCTGCATTCATCTTTAAATATTCTTCATTCATTATGATAGATTCACCATCCTCTAAAAGAAAAGAGTCATTCTCTTTAAAGGAAACTTTGATATTTGATTTCCTGGACCAAGTGTCGACAGGATTGGATTTGGCTTCATTGATATTACCATCTTCCTTGGCATTACTTCGAATACCCGAAGTGTTTTCCATCAATTTTTGAGAAAATGAGACTCATTTCTCAACTAATTGAGTCTTGACAGCAAGATTGCTGAATTTATTCGCAAACAATTTCAGTCCAGATGAAGACGATGCTTCGTTATCAAACAAATTCTTTTTGTATCCAACAAGAGATTTGAAAACCTTCGCAAGAGATTGATTCACTATCCCTTTTCCTTTGCCTAGAACAATCGAAGATATCCTTCGAACTTCTTCAGATGGTTCGTTAATCCGTAAAGTACCAGATTTTTGAATTTTGAGAATACCATATGTGTAAACGGAGTTCAGATTAATGTCGCCGGGAGGATTCCGGCGATCTGCAGCGAAAGCCGCAGCTTCTTCCATCAGCGAAGAACAAACAGCCTCCAAAATCGGACCGTTAAAATTTGAATTTTAACAAACTTTCACTTGCTAATTCCAGGAGCTTCTCTCACTACTTTCTAGGCTAAAAGTTATTAAAATTTGAACCGATAGTCTCCTTCAAGGACTTTGTAATCACTTTTATTTATTAGCGCGTAGGCCCCTTTTTGGATTTTCACGACAAAAAAAGGAAAATATGCTATCCTACAATTATATTCTAAAATGAGATCAGACCATGAAAATACATAGGTCGATTCCCAAAAATTCTACACGGACGTAACCAACTGACGTAAGTCGGTTCAGTTCGTCCTGGGACGAATAGGTTCGTCCTGGGATGATTTAAATAGAGAGTTTCGTCCAGTGACAAAAATTAATTTCGTCCTGTACGATCGCATACAGAGAGTTTCGGTCTAGGGACGAAATTAATTTCATCCTGTACGATCTCATACAGAGAGTTTTGTCCTGGTACGAAGGTTATTTCTGGACGAACAGTGCAAGAGAGAATCCCGAGACGTTCGTCCTGGGATGAATATTAAATTTCATCCTGGAGATTAGGACTTAGAAAAATTTTCTCTCTCACATTCAATCCATTGCTCTCCTGAGGGTTTGATTGACATGACGTCCGTACGAACCAGGTTCATCCCGTACGATCAGTTCACAAAAATTACCCTAATAGTGTGTTGTGATTTTTCACGCAATTACAATCACTACCTTTCATTTAAAAACTTATGATTTACAAATGAATAGTTTGAAGTCTTCATCACTTGGAGTTGATTTTCCTGAAATATTAGTACACACTAGAGGAAAAATAAACTTCCAAAAAGAGTTAGGAGATATATAAAATAATAAAATATTTGAAATCATCAAATAATATAAGTTGCAAGAATATAAACATAGCAAATAAAATTCTCTCTATAAGAACAACATCATGTAGCTTCTGAAGATAACCAGACTGACATTTTAAGCAAACCTTTACCTAAAATTCTTTTTGCTCACTAAGGATTGGATTAGATGTTATTGTTACTCTTCTTTATTAAGGAAATTTGAAATCAATATATTGAGATTTATGTATTTTATGTGTCTATTCATTTTTTTATTTATATAAGATTTTTTAGTGTTGTTTGTTAAAAGTTGTTATTTCCTTATCGTCATAAATATTAAAACAATTTATAAAAAATCACATCATACAGTACAAATAACATTCATACTGTACAATCTATACAATTAAGCACATCTTTTATTGTCCATGTTTAAATGGTTTTGATCTAACTATTATTGATGATCATATAATATGATCGATCTATTCATACTAAATGATCCACGTGTAACTGAGTGTGAACAAATTAAATCATCTGAAACAATAACTAAAATTCTTTATTATATGAACACCTATTCATTCTGTAAAAAAATTATAGTCAACAGCCATGTCGATGACTACTTGTGATGATCATTATTAAATGATACGTCCAACATGATTATGATCATACTGTATGATTTAAACCACCTTTTTGATAGATAATCATGAGAAATTAAATTCTTCTTCATCATACTACATGATCTACTAAAAATTATAAGTAGTGAGGGATTTGAACATGTTCATTCAATCAAAATATTTTATTCATTTTGTTGTATAACTTGTGCTTTTAACTCATCGAATGACCAGTGGAAATGTGCTCATAACTATTTCATGGTAGTTCTTCTAATCACCCGACTATGATTTCCAAACATTAGATGATGAAGTAGCCTATTATAGGCATATCAAAGCAAAATTACCTATCATGCATTCTTAACCACTCCATTCATTGTTTTCGAGTAACAGAGCCCTTCACTAATTGCACTTCACTTTTCTTACCTTAACCAATCCTTTTAATTTTATTGATGCTTTTGATTTTTTGCTATTTTATAATTCTGTAATTTTTTCCTCCATGACTTCATATGTCTACAAATGACTAGTAGTATCGCTATGATTTTTTTTTTTTTTTTTGAAAACCTCCATATATCCACTTAAGGGTTCCACCTATATCTCTATCTTATAGTGTAGACAACAATGGACTACTATAATCTAATTATTAGTAAAACACCTATATACTAACATCAGCCACTTGTCCAATCCCAAATAAATGCTTTCTTTTATCCAATGTTCACGAACATATATTCTTCCTAAAAATGGAGAAAGGTAAACATCACTCTTCTCTTATCTATAATCTCCTACTTTATCATGTCTGAAAATTGGCATTTGGTGAGTCAAAAATCTCTTTTTTTATCTCTATACAAAATCTTACATTAGGCCAGCAAATTATGAATGCCCTAGATAAAAATATTAGATTACATACCCTGTACCTGCTGAAAATTTTCCCATTTTTACTCTGTGCCTCATTCTTTGTTTTCTTTCATTGTCACCAAGGGGATCAACCCAAAGAGGAGTAATATTTTGATGAGTAAAGGGGAGTTAGTCCAACACTAGCACCAGTAATGGTATAAGCACCATTACTAGCACTAGAAATACCATTTTTACTACTATGAGGTTGTGCTAGAACATTTTGATCTATTAGAGGCTCAACTAGATAATCATATTCAATAGCAGCAACAACATGGGATAGACAAGGCATGGTTTGTTGAGAAAACTTTACATGATTCACCACTATATCCAACCAAAGCACATGACGATGACTTGATCTGGGTCTTACTAGTAAGAGTGTTTAATATTTGAAGTCTTTCATTTATTTTGTGGAATATTTTTTTTTTATTATTTTTTTTTTTTTGTCCTTTTCTCCTTTTGGTTGTGATTTTAAACTTTGGAGTATTTAGATTTGGTGTATTTTGTGGTTTTATCTGTAATACTTTTTCAAAAATTATTTGTATGTACATCTATGTTTACATCTAAAAAAAAAATGTGTATGTGCTTTGTAGCACAATGTAATGAATTATGCTACGAAATATGATTCTTGTTAATTATAAGATGCTATTAATAACCTATGCAAATTGTATGAAGTTTATTTTATTTTTTTTTAAACTAATATTAAATTAAATTTTAAATCCTAAACTAAAATGTTCCCACCTTGAGAATAAGAAACCAAATGGAGAGAACTTTAAAATAAACATAATCCTAGATAAAAAGATTTCAAAACTACGAAACATTTCTTTCTTGTAAAAGACTCGTGTCATTTAGTAATAGAGTTAAGGGTGTAAATTTAAAGGCATTACTCGGTTACCTAATTTTGTGTTAGCTCTTTAAACTATTAGTTTCATGGAACGTACCACATTACCTTTTTTTTATTTAAATTGATTTATCGATTGAGCTGTTTTCATTATGTGCAAAATAAAATTTAATTTAATTTTTTTTTTTTATGACTTGTGATTTTCTTCGATATAAAATCATTTAAGTTTTAAAGATATGTATTTATCTTATAAATCGCCTTTACTTTCTTGTGATCAAGCAAGACTTTTAATTTTTTTTTTTTTTTGTATGAATACAAATTTTACTCATTCGAATGGCATACGAGGGTCAAACAAGGTGATGGAGTTAAACATACGTTTATTATTTCTATAAGGCC